GGGGGGGGGGGGAACCGCGATCGGCGGCGGCAGTTCAGCGGCAGGTCCTTCGCTCCTAGAGGACCTGCCGCCCCCGAATTGCCGCAGGTGCCGCCCCTCTCCCTTGGCCGCCCCAAGTACCTGCTTGTTAAGCTGGTGCCTGGAGCCGGCCCTGCTCTTAGTGAGGATGCGCAAAGCAGAAGACATAGGAGAAATATCAAAATAATCTGCCTGAAGTGGTTGGAGCTACCTGACAGTCAGACAAGGGAGGGGTTGTGGCAGTTCCTCTGGGGATTCCTGTGCTGGGCAGGCAGAGAAAACAGTCGAGTGTGACCTTGGACAGCCTTTCTGTGCCTGTTTCCCCTCCTGCTCTGGGGGTCTGGTGTAAGACTTGATATAATCGCCTCAGCCCTGTGTGTGCAGGGCCATTGAGGGCTGCCAGCTTTGTCACAGGACTAGGGGCATGGAGGGGAGGGGCGGGGCTACAAAACCAAGATGTGCTCTACAGTGTTGCTCCCTTGTCCCTTATTAAACAGAAACACAGACCTTTCGTCTAGCTCTTTGCTGCTTTTACAACTGTTATCAGTGCAGATTGTGTCAGGCGGCAGGGCTGGTCTACACACAGGTTTTGTACCAGTCTATCATATTTATTTGTGTGTGTGTGTGCGGGTGCTTTTGTAACCAAAATAATTATACCTATACAACCCCTAGTGTGAATGTGGTTATACTGGTGTAAATAGACCAGCATGTCACTATAGCTTATTCCCCCTCCTGTGTGGGACTAGCTATGCCACCATATGCATCTTATACCAGTATAGCTGCAGCCACACTAGTGGAGTTGTACTGGTTTAACTATACTGGTTTAACTAACACGGTACCACTTTTGTGTCTAGACAGGCTCTGAGTAAAAGACACGTTAAGGTCTTATGGATGACATGGGGGGCTCCTTGCTTTGCCCAAATGGACCAATGTTCTTGATAGCCCTTTATTTTCTAATCCTGTTGACACTGACAGTTGGGATCACTAGACCCTAAATGCTAGACAGGCAGTGTGGTGCAATGCTTGATCTGGAACCCAGGAAACCTGGATTCTGTTCCCAGCTCTGCCCCCGACCTGCTGTCTGACCTTGGACAACCAATCTGTGGCTCTAGTTCCCCTCCCACTCTTTGTCTGTTTCTGTTGTAATCTCCTTGGTGCAGGGACGGTCTGTTATTATCATAGACTCATAGAAATGTCAGGCTGGAAGGGACTTCGAGAGGTCATCAAATGCAGCCCACTGCACTGACGCAGGACCAAGTAAACCTAGACCATCCCTGATGGGGGTTTGTCCAACCTGTTCTTAAAAACCTCCAATGATGGAGTCCACACCCTCCCTGGGAAGCCTGTTTCAGAGTTTCACTACATTATAATTAGAAAGCTTTCCCCTAATATCTAACCTAAATCTCCCATGCTGCAGACTAAGCCCATTACTTCTTGTCCTACTTTCAGTGGCTATGGAGAACAATTGATCACCGTCCTCTCTGTACCAGCCCTGCACATTTTATGTGTATCTAGAGTGCCTTGTGCTGTCTCAGTTGGGGCCTCTACATGCCACCATAATACAAATCATCTTGCATTCTTCTTCACTTCTTAGCATGAGGAAATTCAAGCAGCTGTTACCAGCAGCTTAAGTATTAATGAAACTACAGTGAGCTTTAACCACCTTATTTTCAAAAGGCAGGGTGTTCGGAAGCTATTTAACACTGGGATTCTTCTTCTGCCTGTTTTGTTCAGGTCCGATTAGCAGTATTTTAGTGAATCGTTTTGGCAGCCGACCAGTGGTTATATTTGGAGGCTTGCTGTGTGGAATTGGGATGATTTCGGCGGCGTTCTGCACGAGCATTTTACAGCTTTACATCTGCGTTGGAGTCGTTTCAGGTAACAAACAAGCTTTCCTTTTGTACTATCTCTTGCGATATCTTTTCTAAGCTAAGCCCCTGTCCTCCTGCGGATACTTAAGCATGTGCATAACTTTACGCATCTGAGTAGTCCCACAACCAGGGCTACTCACCCAAGTAAAGTTGCTTAAATGTTTGCATGGCATGGGCCTACACTTCTTCATAACTGTGTTTTCAGCTTACTTTGTGTGAGTCTAACGTGCGGCAGGCTCTTTGCAGATGAGCGCTGCTCCGGGACAATAATGGAGATGGTTATTAGTGCCCTCAACTCCTGCTGAAATCAATGGATCACGCGGCAGCTTGCATGATCAAATAGCCCTATCTGTGAAAATTTTTCTCTCTCTGAAGATGGCGATTAGTACAAAAATAGTGGAGCTATGAGAGTTCAGGTTTTGTTGATACTCATTTTGGTGAGAGGGGTTCTTCATATAAAAATAATAAAAACTAGAGTGGATTGGAAAGCAAGACATTTTTCCTTTAAAATTTTCCTAAAATGTAGTTCCCTTTTTTCATTGAAAAGTTGGAATTCTAATAACCCTTTAAGCCAAGAAGTTTTCCTTTCCTGGAGTTCAACGGCTGGCTCGGTTCTGCATGGCTAAAGTCAGCGGGGATTTTGCTGTTGACTTCAGTGAGGGTTGGGTACAGCCCTCCGTCTGCCCGTCTGTGTGTGGGGACATATAGCTGGGCTGGTACATCACAGCTCAAAGCACCCGTGGGCAGAGTTCACCAGGAGGAAGAAGTCAGGTTGTGTGTGCTAGAGCAAGAATCCTGGGAGGCAGGAAGAGTCCAGGATTATAGGAAAGGTTTGCCGAGAGGCGTTCTGTAGTGAGGCGGCCTGGTTCCCGGCTGCCCCGGAGGGGGACGAGCCCCTACGGAAGCCAAAGTGGGCGGAGCCAGTGGAGCCTGCGCCCGCCCCCCAGAGGTCAGGGCGCAGGACAGGAAGTACAAAAGCCCAACCCCAGAGCTCACTAGGGGCCCGGCCGCTGGAGAAGCCAGACGCCTGTGGCCTAGCTCCCGGTTGGGAGACTCCTACAGCTTGCGGCCGACCCGAGGACTGGCCAGACGCCGACCAGACCTCGGAGAAGCTGGTAAACCTGCCTGTGGCAAGTTACCCAGAGGAGCTGCCAAGCCCACCGCTCGCCGGGTACCCAGAGGAGCCCATGGTGCTTGACTCCTTGGAAGACTCTGTCCAGATGCTGGTACCTCTAAAGGGGGAGGTAGGAAGTAGCCCAGGGGCAGCCGACCCTCATCTGGCTGCAGCACACCCAGAGCCCATGTCAGTGTGTTGCGGCCAGGATCCCCACTGACACACCAGCAGGCCATCTGCCACTGCTAGGGCCCCGGGCTGGGACGCAGTGGAGTGGGAGGGCCTGTGTCCCCCCTGCCACCCACCTCGCGGGTGGCCGTCTCCCCCTCTCCCAGGTCCTTCGGAGCCAGGACCTGGGCCTCCTAAACCTATTTGTCTGCTTAGCCCCTGCCTGAGGGCCTGAGCTCCTGATTGTTTGCTGCCCTGCCCTCACCCAGGGCCTGAACCTGTTTTTGAACTGTTTGCTCAGCCCTGCCTGAGGGCCTGAGCTCCTGACTGTTTGCCGCCCAGCCAGGCTAATTCCCCGACTCAGCGGACCTAAGTAGTGAGGCGGCCTGGTTCCCAGCCACCCCGGAGGGGGACGAGCCCCGGCCGAACCCCTACACGCTCCCACTTATTTCCCTGGCTCGGATGAATTGCTTCCCTACAATTCCCCCTTCTCCTTGGTTGGTACCATGAGCGCTCCTCTGTGTTCCTGTTACATTTCACTTTAGCCACGGGGAAGAGCTGCAGAGAAACAGCCCTGCCTGGGTTCTCCAACTGCCTCTGGGGAGAAGTAAGTGTGGCAGGGAGGAAGCAACCAAGTCCAGCTACAGGCATCCTCTGTGTTTTCTGAATCCTCCTCCTCTCATCCTCCCCCTCTCCCCCCTCAGCAAAAATAATCCACCGATTGCTGGTGAAATCTGTTCCCTCTCCAGTTTATACAGCTTCTTTCTGTTAAACCCTCAGAGTGAGCCAAACCCAGCAGTTCATAGTTAGGTTAAGGCTGGCTCTGCACTAGAGCCAATGGCATTTTCTAGCCTAAAATTAGACTCTGAAATTCATAACTAGGCACCAGGGGTGGGGGCGCTGAAAATCAGGCCACTTCTCTAGGAGCCTAATTTTCAGCATCCATTTGATCGTTTTAGAATAGATGTTTATAATGCTGCCTCCAGTGCAACTAGGACATCTGTTTGAAAGCATGATACGTTACGCTAAAATACTGACTTTACAGCATCTGAGATGTGGAATTAATATACTCCGTGTCACTGTGGCTGCACCAGATAGCCCTGACGTCTGATAATGAACACCAGGGACTAAACTTGTAAGATTAATAACACAGTTTACTGGCAAGGGGAAAAACATTAATTGGGACAGAAAACTTGTGACCATGTTCCCCTGCGCCCAGACCGTCTCATTAAATCTGGTTGTGAAATGTTCTTCATGCACCTAAGTAGCTTGTTTTTTTTTATTATTTCTTACGCTGCTCTGATTGTGCCACCACATTTAGGTGACACCCTGCTGTCACGGACTGAGCAACAATTCACACAGCTTCTTGGAAGGAGATTCCAGAAACAAAAATAACCTGCAATTCTTAACCTCATGTGCTAGTCAAAGGAGCAATGGATCCAGCTATATGCCATTGCTGAACACTTGATTGCAACATTCCCTTACAAACAAATGCCCTCTAAGAAATCATAGAATCTCAGGGTTGTAAGAGACCTCAGGAGATCATCTAGTCCAACCCCCTGCTCAAATCAAGGCCAATCCCCAGACAGATTTTTGCCCCAGATCCCTAAATGGCCCCCTCAAGGACTGAACTCACAATCCTGGGTTTAAAGCAACAGAGGGTCCTGTGGCACCTTTAAGACTAACAGAAGTATTGGGAGCATTGCAAGTGCATCTGAAGAAGTGAGGTTCTTACCCACGAAAGCTTATGCTCCCAATACTTCTGTTAGTCTTAAAGGTGCCACAGGACCCTCTGTTGCTTTTTACAGATTCAGACTAACACAGCTACCCCTCTGATACTTGAATCCTGGGTTTAGCAGGCCAATGCTCAAACCACTGAGCTATCCCTTCCCCCATTAACATAATAGTTAATGTAAAACACAAATCCTTTGTTATAGACTATATAAGCACTTCACACTATCAACTGTGAATAGAAGTGCACCAGTATGGAACAGTGCATGCCTTGGAGTAAATACTGAGCTACAGTAAATTGCCACAATGGATCAGACCACAGGAAGGTACTAGACTCCTCCCCATAATGGACAATTATGGAATAAGCTGCCCCTCGGGGAAGCATCTCCTTCAAACTAGAATGATTTATTATTTGTATTGGGCTAACACACAAAGGCCCCAATCAGAATCATGTCCCTGTTGTTCTAGGTGCCGTACAAACACCCAAGAAGCTGCAGGTCCAGATTTTTGCACCTAAAGTTGTTGTTAAGTAACTAGTGTGCAAAGTGCCTAACTCCCAATGGGCCTACATGCTTTTAAAAATCCCACTAGGTCCTGCCCCAAAGAATTTACCACAGGAATTGAGTCTCTTGGAAGAGGTTTACATTACTGTATTGGAAAGGCAAAATGACACAGTTGCAAGTTGCCTCACAAGATCCATCTATCCAAAGAAAATAAGGGAGTGGTGTTATCTGATAGTGCAAGCGCAGAACTCACCCCCCCTATTTATTTGTTGTATAACTGTGCTGGTATAACTGGTAAAACTCCCCCAAGTGCACAAGGCCTTAGACACACCTATAATTTCCTGGGTCTGCTGCTAGTGTGCTCAGGAGTGAATGAGAATCCTCTCAGGAGTGAAGAAAATGCTTTCAATGCTCCTAATTAGCTTGATGCTCCTAGTTATATTTGAAATGTTTTTTCACCTAGTTTGGTCAGATCTGAGGTGGGAGCATTTAAGGGTAATTATAAAGCCAGCCTACTGATCACATGACTGTGGAGAAAGTAACTACCTGAGAGATACATATACAGCAAACTACACTTCCACAAGGCTCCTGCTTAGTCTGACAAGGAGACGCACTTTGACTGGGAAGAGCATCCCTGTGTACTTCCAAGGAACAGAGTTAAAACGAGAACCCCACCAGCAAGAGATCTCTGCTCGCCTCCCTTGCCTTTGGCATGTTAATAGCATCTCTTCAGAGGTAGAAGTTAGAAACATGAATGTATCAGTTCACACTGTCTAGATAGACACACCGTTCTCAATGGCTCTCTCAATTGAGGTATGTCTTTTTTCTATTCATATCAGGGGTGGCCAAACTTACTGACCCTCCAAGCTGCATACCACAATCTTCAGAAGTTTGAGAGACGGAGAGCACCTGCCGGGGCTCGGGGCTTCCACCCTGTGGCAAAGTGATGGGGCTAGGGGCTTCTGCCCTGCAGGGTCAGGGAGTCTCGAGGCTTGAGCCCTGCTCCTGCTGAAGCCCCAAGCCCCGGAAGGTGCCTCCTGCAGGGCTGAAGCCCTGAGACTCCCCTCCCTGCTGGGCAGAAGCTCCTAGTCCCACCACTTCCTCACAGGGCAGAAGCCCTGAACTGCCCCAAACAATCTGGTAGGCAGAGAATGATGGGTGTGGGGGGGCTCCGAGAGCCGCACTTTAACTGTAAAAGAGCCGCATGCAGCTCATGAGCCACAGTTTGGCCACACCTCATTTATATGTAGGTCAGATGCAAATTCATATAGTCATTGAGTCAGGGAAGTAGTACCCTGCCTGCGTCAAGGGAGCACTACACTGTGGGAGCTGCCATCTTTTGGATGATGTATGCAGTGTTGTTGTAGCCGTGTCTGTCCCAGGATATTAGAGCGACCATATTACCTCGTCCACCTTATCTTTTGAATGAGACATAAAACCAAATACCTGACCACCAGTGGCCGTTAAATAGTCCCTAGCACTTATAATAAGATGAGTGGTGGCTGCCCTGTTTTTCTGGCCAATGCCAATTCAGATACATACATTCTGCCTAACTCTAATTGCCTTTGCAGTTTCAGTAGGGCAAGGTGGTAATCTTCACTTCTTTTCCAAAACAGTTTTGCAATTGTGCTGTGTTCCGCCCCAGAGGCTGCAGCCTTTCAGGTTGTGTGATGTCATCCCAGTATCTCTGCTACGAACTCATGGGGTCGTTTTGATCATTGGTTAATGCTGTCAGAGAAAGCTGGCAGGAAAACGGAAACAATTCACAAACATTGTCAAAAATGTTTGTTTCTGTTTTTTGTCAAAACATTGTTTTTGTGGAAATTTTATGGCCAACCCTTATTTACACGGCACTTTGAGATCCTCTGAGGCAAGACCTCCATAGAAATGCAAATATTGGTTTATTAATTATTATTATTCCTGGCATTGAGAGAGCTCTTCCCCTCTCAGGAGCCAACCCTTGTTCTTGTTGACGTCAATGGGAGTTTTGCTTGAGTAAAGACTAAGGGCCCGGGGTACTATTGATTTCAACAAGAGGGTTTGAGGATTTTGGCCTAAGGGCCTGATCCAAAGCCCATGGAAATCAGTGGAAAGACATTGATTTTAATGGCCGTTGAATCAGACACTGAGGAGATGTCAGAAGATCGCAGCACGCTGCGTATTGAGCTTTTTTGGAAAATCTGGCTCTGGATGTGGGTGTTGGGCACTTGAAAATCTGGCCCTGTGCTCTTTGGAAAATCACACCTCCTCTGAGGCCATTGAAATTGAGCCCATTAGGTTATGTCTATGCTGTAATCACAGGGTGTGATTGCAGCTTGAGCCAACCTACTCCAGCTAGCCCTAATCTTGCTAGCTCAGGTCCCGGAACAACGAAGCCACGGCGGTATGAGCTGCAGCCCTGGCTTTACAAACCCACCCAGAGCCCTGAGTATTAGTCGTAGGCTAGCCTGTGCTGAAACACATGCTGCCATGACCTGTCCTAATGAGATTAAAGCTTGGTTGGGTATATTGTCTTGAGCTGCACTCACAGGGTGTGATTACAGTACAGACATACATACCCTTACTGATATGTAACAGAGAACAGTAGTTATTGAGCAAGGCACCTTATAAAACCATTTTATGCACTAATTCTCATAATAATTGGAAGATATTTAATGGGGTGAAAGGATGGTTTCCGTCATGCTCAAATTACTTCTCTTCATCTGGAACCCCCTCTTGTAGGCCATGATGATACAGCCTCTCTAATTTATTTGGAACAAAATGCCATCTGCTGGGATCAATTTAAGGTCTGCGATCCCTCTTGCTGTGATAGCAAATGAGAAGAAAATGGATATAAATATTTTAGAATAAAATTAGCAAAAAGATTAAAGTAATTAGAACGTCCAGTCAGTAAGTTTGAAACTGTCGGATCCTAATTAGCAGGAACAGAATGAGGTTATATTAAATTAATTTGCATCGCTTGTAAATTAATGGTCAGATAATACAGGATTGTAATTGATTTGGTTAAATGGATAGTTGGCTTCTTACCTAATTTTTATTCTCCTCAAAGTGACTCTTTTGGCCAATGCATATTGTAGATTCCTATGAAAGACAGTCCATTAAAATTATCTGACTCATCTGAGAGAGGCTGGAAAAGTTTAAACTGCAGTTACTTCCTTAACCCAACATTTGTGCAGGTCTCTATGATCACTGGGTTATCTCAGCTATTGCTGAGAGCCAGCAGAAGAACTATATACCCTGTAAGTCTCTCTTATGCTTTTTTTTGGAGAACTTAGGCCAGATTTTTAAAGGTATTGAGGTGCCTAACTCTCAGTGCAAGATGGATGCCTAAATACTTTGAAAAATCTGGCCTTTAGTGCTAGAGGCCTTGAGCTATCCTTCTGCACAGTTAGGAATTTCACCGATTGTGCATAGTGTGCAATCTATACCAACTCAGGATCTGTCCCACCACATTTATGGAGTACCTAGATCCATCAGGTCAAGTTAAGGACTGTGATTCATACCTATGTCTGAATTTCCTACCAAGGATATAGCCCTGAGGTTATTTTAACATTTTTTGTTTTGTAATTTCTTTTCAATTTTCAAAACATTAGGTTAATTTTTTAAAATGGAAGCTTGACAGTTGGAAAGCAATTGTTTAACACCATCGGGTTATCATAGCATATGTGGAATTTGAGCTGCACAACACGGTTGGAATTCTGTGTAGCTAATATTACTTATTAACAATAGTTTTCCTTAATTAATTTGAAGGACCTTGACATTCCTACATTTTATTCTGTAAAGTGATATGCTTAATCAGGTACTGCACAATTAAACAAACTAATTATATAAATTAACGAACTGGAAAAAATCAGCATGGCGCTGTTTTCAAGATTCACATTTTCCAATTCAAGGATGAAATTTCAATTTTGTTTTACAGGGGATCATTCTTAGGCTAAGGGCTAGGGTGGAAAATGTGTGTTATATTTCTAAATGTAACTTTAAGACCAATATACATTACTTACATAATTTTATTTTGTAAGAGAAAGCAGCACACAGATGCTTAAAAAGATCTTTTAAGTAGAACAGATTCCTTACTGGTATCCTAAAGAACCCAAGAATGCTCTGACCGTCCAACGCTCAACATTTAACATCTGTTGGGGTAGAAAACAGATTCCAGCTCATGCAATAGGCGAGCTAATGGTCAGTTAGGTGGTTGAATTACTTATGGAGATTTATACTACTGTTACTATTACTATTTTGTTTAAATACAATAAAAAGGGTATTTTAATTTAAACATCTCTAACACTAGGGACCTTCTACATTAGTAGGAGCTGCAGTGGCTGTCACTTTTGCTATTACAATGTACTTATGCTCTGGACCTCTCAGGCCTTTTAATCTCTTGGCTAAGTTCCTCACATCAGCACATTAACTAACAGTGGAAGGGATGGGTGCTACTGCACTTGATTCCTAGGTCTGCTTGCCCTTCTGCAGTGGGCAGGGATGCCGAAGCCCTCCAGTGGTTGGGATGTGAGTCCTAATCAAGCATGTAAGCACGTTGCCCTCTAGTGGTTAAATACCAAATGCTATGTATGGCATAATGCTGACATCGCCATATTTATTCATTTATTTATTGGGCAATGTCTAGGCATTGATCTAAGCCCATCTAGGAGTATATTATCAAGTAGCCTGGATGTAGCAAAAGCATGGATGACCAGGGAGAGACCTGCATGTGAGTGGAAAGAGTTGATTCATCTGGTCAAGTTTTTATAAGGTTGCCTGTCACCTTGGTATCTGAGCATAGACTCATAGGACTGGAAGGGACCTCGAGAGGTCATCTAGTCCAGTCCCCTGCACTCGTGGTAGGACTAATTATCTAGACCATTCCTGACAGGTGTTTGTCTAACCTGCTCTTAAAAATCTCCAATGATGGAGATTCCACAACCTCCCTAGGCAATTTATTCCAGTGCTTAACCACCATGACAGGAAGTTTTTCTTATGTCCAACCTAATGATCACGGCCACTTGAAAGCTGCTGTACAGCTCTGAGCCAGAGACCACACCATCTTCACCAACACTTGATGGTCAGTGGTCTCCAGGACTTCTGATGGAGCTCCTGTGGTTACTAAATACCATTCTCTATTGCTCATTGCCAGAATGAGTTTAGCAGCAGCTATATTAACTAGGACGACTTCAGCACCAGGAGATGGTCAAAAGCCAGATTTAAAGTCAAAAGCGCCAGTCAAGTCCAGGTCTGTCTAGTTGCATGGTCACTAAAGTGTGTGTGATCAAGTCACAGAGACCAGGCCATAATATTATTATGCAAGCATGATAATATGCTAGCAGTGACAAAGCAGCCATAGTGTTTTTGTAATAGATGGGTACTGTTACCATGCCAAACTGTTGGGTCTGGACAAAAGCACGTGGGACCTGTAAACTTCTATTTGGTCTTTTAGGGTTACAGATTTCCATATTCTGTGAGCCATGACTATAAGGGTGAGATTTGCAGCCCATGGTAAGGGGCTGGAAAGTGGCTTTAAGCCACCTTTGCACCCTCCTGATATTGAGCTGCTCTGGGGGGCTGAAGAGGCACCAGGTATAAATTGGACAGCACCAGGGGCCTTGCAAAGTTACAGCGGCGTCTCCAGGTTACTCTATGGGCCACAGCGCCACCTGGAATCTCCTCAGCACTGCCCGCTGCCCTGACTTCTTATTAGTTATATTATCATAAGCACCTAGGAGCCTAGTCATGGCTCCACTGTGCTAGGTGCTGTTCAAACAGAACAAAAACATGGTCCCTGCCTCACTTGAGCCTTCTGCCCCCAGCATGCCCCCTTTGTCAAGGCTTGCAAAGGGGTCCTTGGAAGCAGCTTTAGGGCTGTCTTCCTCAGTTCCTGCATTGGGTGAAGCCTTCCCCTGGTCAGAGCTGGGGATTTTAGGGCCACTTCATGCCAGTCCAGCCCTTGCACCTGGTATAAAGGGGGCCAGAGTGGCAGTGAGGATCTCACCCTTGATTTAGACAGAGCCATATTCCGAATGGAGGAATTGGCAGTATAGTTTACACCTTTTGTCACTGTTTTTTCCCCCTCCATTACAGGATTTGGCCTTGCTCTTAACCTTCAGCCTTCGGTGATAATCATCGGGAAATACTTCTTGAAAAGGAGACCAATCGCCAACGGCCTTGCCATGGCTGGCAGCCCCGTAATGCTGTCTACCCTTGCTCCTTTGAACCAGTTCCTTTTTGACAATTTTGGCTGGAGGGGCAGTTTCTTTATTCTTGGGGCAATTTTACTGAACTGCTGTGTGGCTGGTGCTCTCTTCAGGCCCATCGGAATGGCAGCTGACCCTGTTCGGAAACCAACCATCAAGCAAGCTGAAAAGACTGTAAAAGAGCAGCCCAATAAAAGCTCAGTTGAAATGCTCTCTCCCAAAACTGTCAGTTTGTTGAGCGGAACAGAAGACGAGGAGGACAAAGACTGCTGTGAGAAGTTTAATAAGTACCTTGATTTTTCCCTCTTTAAGCACAGAGGTTTCCTGATTTACCTGATTGGAAACGTGCTCATGTTTCTGGGATTTTTTGCCCCTATTGTTTTTTTGGCCCCTTACGCGAAGCACCTTGGCATTGATGAATACTCAGCAGCCTTCCTCCTTTCTATCCTTGCAATAGTTGATATGATCGCCAGACCCACCACTGGAATTATTGCCAACAGTAAATGGGTGAGGCCAAAGATCCAGTATTTTTTCAGCTTTTCAATTGCTTTTAATGGTGCCTGCCATCTCCTGTGCCCCTTAGCCACAGGCTACACGGGTCTAGTCATATACTCCGTCTTTTTTGGCTTGGCCTTTGGTATGGTTTGTGCCATGCTCTTTGAAACCCTCATGGACCTCGTGGGAGCTGCGCGATTCACAAGTGCTGTTGGCCTTGTCACCATAGTGGAATGTTGCACAATACTTCTTGGACCACCTATTGGAGGTGAGCATGTTTCTATACTATAACTCTAGTGACATGTCAGCTTTTGATCTAATTCCTAGATTGAGACTGAGATAAATACAGGTTGCAGAGGGGTGCGTCTAATTTCATCTTCTCCATTTCAATCCCACTTTGTTTTGGGGTCTTTTGCAAGTAATTATGTGTAGAGTAATAAAGGTAATAGATTTGTCCTCCATGATTTCTCTTAGTGAGAATTTAGCAACATTAAAAACAAAAAGATCATCTCTCACGTGTTCGTTCCTTGGACCTGAACCTGCATATGTCCCATATGTAAAAATTCCCATTGAAACCAACAATTGTGTGTGTGACATGGATGCAGGCTGAGGCTTTTAGGCCTCATCCATCAAACACGTAGGTGTGTAAGTGGCTTTACGCAATGCGTCTACTCATATATGTAAACTTATTCACATGCATAAGTGTTAACAGGCCAGGGTCTCTATCTTGCAGAGCATTGACTGCTTAAGGCCACGATCCAGTACATGGTTAATTTTAAACATGATAATAATCCCATTGAAATCCCTTTGCTGAATCGAGCCCCCTGGATCTTAGCTGATGTTTTTTATTTGTCTGTAAGGACACAGTAGATCCAAATAGCCACAGATGTGTATGCTTTTAATTTCTATGCAGCTGTACATTCTGGCCTTAAACTCGGCACACTTCCATTTATAGATTTTCATCCTCTCAGCTTGGCCAATAGCATTCCAGCTGTAAAGACTGTAATGAAGAAAACAGGCTGTTTTTTAAAAGGAAAAAATCATTTATTTTGAATAGATTTGAGAATTTTTGCTTCTCCTTCTTACAGTTTTTTAAAAATATATAATATATTCCTAAAATATTTGACAAAATAGAAAATAAATATGAACGCGATCTGGGTGCCTTTATTCTTTTCTCATATGTAACATGAAAAACTTGTGTGTTAGCTTAGACTGCAAGCAGTTCAGAGCAGAGACCTATGTTATTGTAAAGTGCCTAGCATACTGTTAAGTGCTAGATATATGGGGCAAAATTGTCAGCACTGACCAGCTTTGTCACAGGGTTTCCTCAGACGCCGCTTTCCCTCTGTTATCAAGCACCATATTACAATTTATTGCACTACAAGATGATGATACAAAAACAACCTGTAACAACCCGGGATCAATACTGCAGGAAAGTTATGCAGCATCTCTGTGAATGTGATAGCACTCTTGGAAAGGGAGCTAAGCTGTGGGTCTACCTCCCAGTGAAATAATGGGAATTAAGCACCTAAATATCATTGAGGATGAGGGCCCTAGATGTTAGCTAGTATTCAGAGTAAGAGTCCTAAATCGTTCACAGCTCTAAGTGCCACTCTAGGGTGACCAGACAGCAAATGTGAAAAATCGGGACCCAGGATGGGGGGGGGGGTAATATCGGGACATCTGGTCACCCTAAAGTGCCACTCTGATAAAGGATTGATAATTTAATATGACAACAAATAAAAACGAGGCCATTTGCTGTCAGTAGAAGGGCATCTGGGGAACTCTTTTATGATTATCACCCTCCCTTTCACCTACACCCTGAGAACCCAGTCTCCAATAGTCTGTCCTCTCATTGCACCTTCAGTACCTTTTGGCTTTGAAAGAACCAGAAAGTCCCACTTGTGCACAGCTTGCAAGTTGGTTGCAGTCACTCTGTGTGCTCCATCTGGTAAAGCAAACAGAGCGGCACTCCCCTTTATCAGCTCTCCCCGGCCCCAGCCCAGTACTTGAACACACCTGTAACGAAACACGGGATCGGTACTATTGACCGCAGCCTACTTTATAACCTCTAGCTTTAAGTTCATTCTCCTCAAGGGTCCCTACTAACAATACATGTTCAAACCTGCAGCAATGCCCAGAGTCATTTGGCAGGCAGTAGAAGGATTCTCCCGTGAATAAAATTACCTTATATTGGGTCATTATGTAGCATGTACTGTAAAGTCCTTTCCCATCAAGGAGCAAACAATATCTACATAATATAATTACTTAGCACACTTTTCACCTCTCCGGGCCTTTCATCAAACCTCATGTGGCCATGAGTTAAACGAGTTTGTATGTGACACCCAGCTGCCATTTATTCTGCACATATCGGTGGAATCGCAGAGGGTGGTGCAGGCGCGGAGGAGCGGCTTGCACCGCTCCCGCATGCTGGGTAGGGTAACTGTCTGCTGCTAGTACTGTTAATCAGTCAACTTTACGTGCGCTGAATGGCCGTCAACTTTTAACTAGGCTTGGTGTTCTGCAGCTATTTGTATAGAAACCTGTTCAACTGTGATAGCAGCTCACAACACAACTTTACGTGATAGTAAAGCCAAGGAACTCACAAGGGAAAGGGAGAGTTAATATGGTTTTGAATTTCATAAGATAAAAAAGTAAGAGCTGTCTAAGCTTCGTTCTCTCACATTTTACAGAGCAATTTAATTCTTCCTTTCACTGTGTAGCTTACACTGTGTGGCAGAAGCAGCGGCAGCCTCTTCTTTTCACACAGTCATTATATAGTTCATAGCAAATTGAAGGTTTGAAGGTGACGGTTTTCTAAGTTCTGTAATTTTTACGCAAGAGATTAAGCTAATTGCCAAAGACTGCTAATGAGGCCAAAACAGTGCTGTGTAATAGTTAGTGATATTAGTTTTGGAGTATTTTGTTCATCATTTTAATAAGCAACAAATTTATTGGTTCTTTGGCATTTAATAACCCACTGCAGGGTTCTGCTTTAATGAACTAAGCAAATTGTTCACTGTGTGTTTTATGGCTTTTCTTATTCTCAAAGGAAAAGAGGCGAGACTATCCTACTGTTGAATTTTCCAATACTCTACTCGTTAAAACCCTCATTGAAACCTATTTAACAGACTTCCAGATCATCCTGATTACCAAGAAGGAAGAATTGCTGTAATTAGCTTCGGTTGATGTTTCATGAGTAACATCCATAAGACAATATACTGAAAGCTGTGTACCAGGATCTCTGTAGAAGAAAGCAGATTGGTGACCAAAACCAGTTGAAATAATAATTTCTGCAATCAGTAAATATGTTTAGTGGCCAAAAAATACCTAGCTAGTGTAAGCATACTTTGGGATAATTAATCACCAGACTTTCAACAGATTAGTTGTCACTCAGGAAGTAATTAAAGGTTCCCCTTCTCAAAGAGAAAAAATGGTTTCAAAAAGTCAGAGCTTATATACACCCTGTTAATTGCAAGAAAGAACTAAAAAGGCTATGCTTGAGGTCAATCTTATTTTAATTAGGATTTGGGATGTTAAATTCAGTCCATATTGCTCCAATACACGGGCATTAATACTCAGCATCACAGTCTCAACAAGGTTTGCATTATGTTACATTTGACATAATGGAGAACATTGACAGGTCAATTAAACCAAATCTTTTCAATGTTTCCATAACTCCATTGCCAAGGCATTAACCTTTGAGATGAAACTGTCACATTTTTCCTGCCATTGAAAATAGCTGTAGGCAGTGTTGTTGTAGCTGTGTTGATCCCAGGATACTAGAGACGCAAAGTGGGTGAGGTAATAGCTTTTATTGAACCAGCTTCTGTTGGTGAAAAAGACAAGTTTTCGAACTTATACAGGTGACCTGAAGAAGAGCACTGTGTAAGCTTGAAAGCTTGTCTCTCTCACCAATAAAAGATATTACCTCACACACTTTGCCTCTCTAATTGAAAATGGTTAACATTGACAGCACCCTCTTTGCTTTCCCTGCAACTAATGTTTCAAGTTCTATGGAAAGCCCTTTCGCCTCTAGTTCACCAGTTCAAGCCCAGGCAAGGCTGGTAATGACTGAACATCATTTATCTGCAGCCCCAACAGAGGGGCTGGGGACTGACTCAGCTAGGTGGATCTTATTCACCCTGTGCTTGATCCAAAGCCCATTGAAATCAATGGAAAGACTCCCATTGACTTCAGTGGCCTTTGGATCAGGTGATTCTTGCAGTTGAAGGCAGAGGCATGACGGCAAGGTGATGGAAAGAAGCTGGTGCTGCCAATTTGGTACTTTGCACAAGCCCTAAATTCACTCAATAGCACAAAAACATCCGTTAATAAAGAATTCTAATATTTTATTCTATAGTTCTATTTTTCATGTGCATAAGAAATCTGGAAACGACAGTACAAGGCCTCCGTCACTCAAAGACTTAAGCACCTGGTTAACGTTACGCAGCATGAATAGTTTCATTGACTTCAATATGATACTCACAGGACGTGAAGTTAAGCATATACTAAGCTTTTGCAGGATCAGAGCCTAAGTTATTAGAAAGTACAGAAAATATCCTATTCTGCGCTACAATCACAATAGCAGCCGTGGTGTTCAGAAACGGAAGCCACCATCGATATTTTGATCTTTGCCTTCACGTCTAAACTATGTTTCTGTTTTGCAATTCACAGGAACGCTTATAGATACTTTTGGAGATTACAAATACATGTTCATTAAATGTGGAGCTGTGATGGTCTTAGCAGGAACATTCCTGTTCATCATGAATTATTACAATTATCGTATGCTGGCGAAAGAGGAGAGGGAAAGAAAAGCGACAGAAGAGACAATGAAGGACAACAAACATATAAGGACAGAAACCGAGGATGGAAATATCTGGGCCAAAGAAAAGATGCAGGATGGTCCGGAGGTGGAACCTTTGACAGATGAAAAAGAGGGACTGAAAAAAGAAGTGAATGGCAAAAGTGAAGTCTAAGCTTGTTTTAACAGGTTGATTGGGAAATTGCTTTTTGTGTTTCTTAAATTGACTGTAACAATGACATGACTTTAGATGTCTAATTCTGCAATAGATACTGCTCTATTTCTACACTTTGCTTTGTCTAGGAAAATCCTAAAGGAAAGAAAAAAAGTCTAGCTTCTTACGAAGTGCTGGCACATACAGTGCAATACCTGTTCCTATATTGTTGGAGGGCTGCATCATTTTTCTTTAGCTATTTCCTGTTACCAATAGGGATCTTAAAAGCATCTAGCCCCCATTCTGCTATTAGGCCTGCTCCAATGTCTATGAAAGGCTATGACCTAGGAGTGTGATTTCCCTGCTTGCGTACGCAGACTTGGGCTGGCTGTCATTGAGCTCGCATGAGTCTAAGTAGCCGTGTAGCTGTGGTAGCACGGGGAGCAGCAGCAGAGGCCTGGGTAAGCTGAACGGAGTACACACCCACCGTTTCAGGCAGGTTTGTAATCAACATGGCTCAGCCATAACTCCACTGCCCCCACCCAGGCTACACTGCTATTAATGCTCGTGCTAACCCAATGACAGCTAGCGGAAGTATATGTACACGAGCGAGGGAATCACACCACTCGCTCGTAGTGTAGATGTAGCCAAAGGCAATGCAAAACCTTCCACTGGCTGCAGTGAGCTTTGAATTAGATCATATTAGAGAGGAATCTTCCACTGCTATGGAACCATTTAAGTACTGTCATTATGGGCCTGATCAGTGTCCAGGGAAACCAACAGCAAGGCTCCCGTTGACATCGGTGTGTATTGGATCAGGGCTCAAGGACCTATTGGGAAGGTTTAAATGCCACCCTCATTTAGCTGCTGCACTTTTACTAATGCACCTTCATCACAGGGAAAAGTAACTAGGCTTAATACCAATCACCTTCATTTTGAAACCATGCTCGGTTTAAAGATTCAGCTTGAATTAAAGCCTTGGCTTCTAACAAGACCGTATGCACCGGGACGTGGTTGTGTGTGTACAGTAGCTGATAGGCCACGTGGTCTTGTGGACTGAGCACAGGATCTGGAGCCAGGCAGTCACCAGCTCTAGCGCCATCTTGACCAACGACTTGCTGTAGGGCTGTGGGAAAACGGCTCTGAGCCAAAGCCACAGGCGCCATGAGCAGAGAAACTTAACAAAGGTGAAATTCACCCTGTGTAGAGGACCAGGAGGAGCCTGTGCACCACTTAAGCCTTCAAGAAAAGGGCAAAAGTTAATTCCATCGACGTCAATCAGCAGGGAAAACTAAGTGGGAACAACGGGAGTCCTGCAACGACTTACACACAGGGGCGTTGGGAGCCATTGAACCAAACTGAAAACCCTGTATATAGTGGAAACCACTTCAAGCCACAGGGTGTGGCAGCACCTATGCTTACACATATGCTTAGCTTTACTCCTGGCTAGTCCCATTGACTTCAATGAGACGATTCACGTGAATAAAGATAAGCCCGTGGGTTTGCAGGATCAAGGCCACTGGCTTCCATAGAGTTTCACTCACCATCAACGGTCCTATGTATCTGTTTCCCCATCAATAAACTGCAGATAATAACAACAGGGAGTTGTGAGGGCTCATTAGTTAAACCTGTTAAGGTTTGTATAAACACCAGCACCCAGGTCCTGAGCGGTATTTAGGCACCTAACTCCTATTCCTTTCACTTGGCATTAGGCACCTAAATACCGTTGAGAACCTGGGCCTAAGTATTAATGACTTCCCAGCTCACTGCAAATATTGGAGAAAAATCATATTCCGTGGCTCTGTCATTGGAGCACAGTATTTAATTAAACCCAATGTACAGACTGAGTACACCTTAGCTGTGAACGATGGCTTTTTAAAAATGAATCTTTTCTATGTATTCTGCTGCCCTTTAAACGTAGGTCAGACCTGTAGTTTCCTCCACAAGACTTGGGGATGTGCAGTGGGGTTGAAATGCTGTTTCCATTGAAGTCAGTGAGGCTAAGATTTCATCCTTAGGCACCATCTTGTGTGTGTTGTGGACAGCACATACCAGTAACATTGGATTTTTTTTTAAATATTCTTTATCGCAGTCATGTAAATATGAACAAAACTATTCCAAACTAATGGTGTGGATGGAGATGCCAGAACATTTCCTGACAGCACATGTCATTTGGAAGCTTTAAGCTATTCAATAAAGCTCTTTTAAAAAAAACAATTGCAATTGATTCAATGTCTGTTTGTGAGGATAATGTTGTGCTTTCCCTTTGTTAAGAGTCTGGTGATAGCATCACATACAGTAGTATCCATTCCAGCTACATATAAGTGGGAGTATAGATTGCCGCAAACAGAGCGGGAGAATAAGCCACTCCAAAAGCCAGTGGAACTCAGGGGCGAAGAGCAAAGCAGGATTCATAGAGGGATTGGATGTTTATATGGATAACCAGAATATAGAGCATTATAGCAATAAATATTAAGATTAAACAAGAATTTGAGCAGGGATATAAACCTTCCTGCCCCAGGCCATAAACCAGCCACTAATTACTGAGGGTCAGCAGGTTATTCCATACCTGTATACAGCTGGTTTAATCTGCCACCTTCTGAAACAGCTGGTATTGGACATTATCAGTGAGAAGCTAGTGCTCTAGAGAGACCCTTGGTCTGATGCAGTCTGACTGTTCCTAAGTGCACCCCTAGTTTTTAAAATGAATGGGGTTTTTTAATGTAGCTGGGTGGGGTGGGGGTGAGTTCCATTTGATATTGCACGAACACCTGATCGATTTGCCTTTGCCCTCAATGGGAACAGGATTGTGAACCTGATTCCTAGTCCATTGAACCGAATGGAAAGATTTCCCTTGACTTCAACGGGCTTTATAGCAGCCACAATGATCTTTTACTGTAGCTTTTTTGAAGAGGAAATATTTTACTCCTTGGTTTAAGTGATACAGCTTCTCCAGACTACACAACCTCTTCCATTTGTTTCCGCAAGCATCACCGGGTCTAACACTGACTTGCTTCCTGCTAGCTGTGATCCCTGATGGATTTAGAAACCTTGGGGTCTTTAATCTCCTTTTGATGCGTGTGCATAACTCTTGTTAGCGTTAATGGCAGCTAAACAAACAGGACAAAAGACTTGCTTATCACCTTGCCTGTTGCTCAGCTCTTGGTGGAATGTTAATTAAACCAAACCCATATGCAATTCAGGTAATGTCCTAACAAGATTATTATGAACGTGCTTGCCATGTACCTGCCAATCACGATATGGGCGCTGTGCAACTGACGCAGGTAGGCCAGCAACCTGCGTCAGTTGCACAGCATCTATATCATGATTTAATAATGGGCAGGAAATAAACCTTAATTTACTGTATAAGGACTAAGTATTTATTATTAACAGTTTGGCCATGCAGAACTCCACTCAGAGCATAGGGGATTGTATGGTTTTGGTTGTGCCTTAAAAAATATACCTAATCTGGAATATTACAGCTATCCTTTGCTCCTGCTTTCCAACTCTGATGTCACTCATATGCCAGACAGACTAAACCAAGATGGTTATCAAAACACATGCAGTGGACATGTCAAAAAAAAAACCCATATTTTTGCACGTGTTCTCTGCTATATATATATCATGTGGGCCAGGATTTCCAAATCTAAATCAAGCATTCACTATCATCCTTCTGGACCATCACATGTTTTACCTTCCATTAATAGCTACAACCCAACAGGTTAAATAATGGCTCAACCTCTTCATAAAAAGCTGCCCAGCGAAACATTATGACATATTGGAAAGGTCATTTACAGAATGACTTAATAAAATCCGATTAATACTTAAGTATGAAAAAAAGCAGAACCATCATGTCTCCTACCAAGGCCTGGAACACTCTATTGGCCTTCACAGAAATATCCAAAGCATAATACTCGCTGTATTTTTCCTTTGATACTGCTTGTCTTGAACAAGGTCAGCCCATTCGTCTAATCATTTTCTGTCGCTTGTAAGGTGTTTTGATATTATATTATTCTGCTGTAACTATTTTAAACGTTAGATGACCCAGCACAATTCAGTAACAAATATTCTGCGGTATGTAAAGCTAACATAACAAATACACATCAGTTACCAAGAGAGCCATCTGCTCTCTCTCCTCCTTAGCTGGGTCGGTGCACATGACCCTGCAAGCCTATGACATAAGGAGATTCTAATTCAAGCACATTTTATTGGCATAATATTCAGTTTTGCCCTGCTGATTCCTCCCCCCACCCCCTTTTGTACATGCAGCTGGTGGCAGGGGAAAGAACGGACGTGTCTCCAACCTCAAAACAGACAGTCTGGGTATCTGAAGTGGCATGGTCTAAATTTAAGCTGACCCAGTAGTTGTGCTGAAGAGCAGAGCTTCTGGAATACAATTCTTTGCAAGATATTAGGTGGAATCTTAGTCCCAGTGAAGTCAGGGGCAGAATTCTCATTGACTTCAATATTGGCAGGATCTCACCAGTTGTGCCTTCTCTTCCTCTAAAAGCTTCTGCGGTTAAATAAGATCCTCGTAGGCCAGCAACTCATGGATGCCTCCTGCTTATCTCTCACTTGTCAGCCTGAACCAACACCAACCCTAGGATACCTACTCCCTCTACCACACCAAATATCATCAGCTCCAGCAGATACAAGCATCCAAATTCTCCTTGATGAAGAACTGGGGAAAGATGAGGATCCATCCTCCTTCTCATTAATCTAGTTCTTTTGGGACAGAATTCAAAGTCTGCTGATGCCAGCATGAGTCGTTCCATTTTCCGCGCTAGCCTGGCACTCCCAATTGCATGCTGTCTCCTTGATGTCGTTGAAAGCAGCTGAGAACGATCTCCGGGGAGTCTGATAACGAGGGCTCCACTACAACAGGGCTGCTTTCATATCTCAGACTCTTACCAGCTCCCATTAATCTGTTCACTCTAGAAACAATTGGTTAGCTCCTCAGCTGGCATAATGCAGCATTGCTCCACTGAAGTCAATGGACGTAATGCTGATTTACCCCAGCTGAGGATCGGCGCCATGATTTAATGGGACTCCAAAAGAAGCTTAATAAATGCGTTGTAAATAAAAATAACACTACCCCAGACAGTAACATTTCTAATGCAGATAAATAAACGTATCCATATGTGGAAAGCATAAATAAACGTATAAATCTTAATGTTAGCACAGCACACGTGCAGAACAGGCTGTCAGTATGTTTAATAACACGTTCCTTATGTCTTAATAACTCTCCTTAGGTTAAACCACCAGTTCTCTCATAATTTCCTTCAAGCTATATTCTTTCTTTATTACTTGGGCTGCTCCTTAGTCCATATTTATGTTGTTTCCGTAAGATTATGACACCATTTCTATCATCCGAGAGGCCAGCACGTTTTAATATAGTCATTAGCTCTAAAGTAACTTTCTGAATGACTGTTCCCCGCCTCTATAAGGATTTGATGCTACAAAGTGCGGAACACGCTGACTTTAACCCAGCAAAGCTTTTAAGCATATGAGTAGCCCCAGTGATATCTACTCATGTGTTTAAAGTTAACCAT